AAAGCTTAAAAAATTGAATTAATTTTTGTAATTTATCAAGGATACGGAATATCTCTGTAAATCATTTATGTTTAATTTTGTTTGACTTGTTCCTTTTAAAAAAAATTATTATTAATTTCAATGAAAGTTTACAGAGACTTTAGATTTCCATTCATTCATTGTTGCACTTTTCTCCCCTCCCAACCCTCCCCCCTAGTACACTACCCTCTTGGAAAAGCAAAAGAAAAATTTTTTAATTGTTTTACAATCGCTCCCCCCAGGTACACTCCACTATGCAGCCTTCGCTCTGGATTCCTGTCATGATGAAAATACCTAATAACATATTCCTTTAAAACAGTTTTCTCCCTCATCTGTTTCAATGCAGAATACATTATTGAACCCATCTTTCTCAGTCTCCCCCGCAACCCCTAGGTCAGTCCCGTTTTACAACAGTGGCCACCATGCAGTATTTGTCCTTTTGTGACTGAGATACTTCACTTAGCATAATGACCTCCAGAGTCACCCATTTTGAATAATATTGCATGAGTTCCTTGTTTTTCAATGCAGCCTAGTATTCCATTGTGTGAATATACCACAGCTTCTCTATCCATTGTTTGTTGATGGGCACTTAGGTTGTTTCCAACTCCTTGCTATTGTGAACAAAGCCACAAGAAACATGGGTGTGTGTATATATCTGCTTGGATGTCAGTTATGGTCTCTTTGTGGTATATTCCCAGTAGTGCAATTGCTTGGTAAAATGGTATCTCTATTTGCAACTTTTTGAGAAAGCACCATACTGCCTTCCACAGTGATTGCACCATTTTGTACTCCCACCAACAGTTCCATTTTCTCCACAACCTTGCCAGCATTTGTTGTTTGCTGTTCTGTTAAATTTTGCTACTCTGACTGGGGTGAGATGATAGTTGTTTTGTGACTTGTTCATATTTTTAAGCAGATTTTTTTTTCTAATGGTCATTCTCTCATCAGTTTCCAAAAAGTCTTTTTTTAAGGAAATTACTGATGTGTTTTCTGTCTTGGAAAAATTCCCCCAGATTTATCATTTGCATTTTAATTAAAGGGAGGGAAGGAGTGACTGAAAAGGTTAATGGTTTTTAATTTACATGTGGAAGCCCAGGAAGGAGCCATTTAAAGATCTGGAATCCAGAAGTGTGTTGCCTAATCTCCACTTCTATAGATCTTACCAGTATTTTCTGAAACCTGCTGCCATGTCTTTTGTGCTATCATATATGAGCTACCTCATAGCTGATTGTTAGCAGGTTTTTAGAGGCTATATATAAATTGTGAGAGAGGGAGTAGCCTATCTTTCTTTCTGGGAGAAACTACTGAGTTTGAACCACTTGCCTTTGAGTTGGCAACACAACTGTCACACCTCATAGCAGTCTCCAGTTAGGCTTCTGAGGCAGTGAATCTTTGTGGAAAAGACGACCATAACACACCTTGACACCAGAGCTCCTTATTCGTTCCTAGATGTCTTAACACCACATTTTCTTTTTTACTTAGCCATCATTAACTTTAGGGAACTCTCTAGTGGCTTAATTGTAAGGAAATGCGGTGGCAACTCAAAAGCATTAGGTTCAAATTCAACATCTACGCTGTGGCAGAAAGAACAGTTTTCTCCTGTACTGTTTACTGCCTCTGAAAACCAGCTGAGGCTCAGCTGTGAGTCAGTTCTATGACTCAAGGATA